CTACTCAGACTGGGGATTTGGGGTAGGGATAGAAATTTTGGGAGTTGGGAATGGATATTATCCCCCAGTGGAATGGGACAGAGAGAGAAGAAGGGGGCCCAGTAGCAGGCCTCGAGACGCCAACATCAAGAGGGCAGGGTGAGGAGGAAGAATCTACAAAGAGCAAAAAGAGAAGTAACCAGAGAGAAGGGAACCAGGGCAGGATGTATTCTCAAATCCAAAAGAGCGGAGTGCTTTAAGAGGAAACTGTGTAGTGGATGCTCAGAGAGCTGGCCAGTGTGGTAGATGCAGCTGGAGGCCAAGAGAAAGGAGGATAGAAAGCCTGTCCCTTGATGTGGCCACCTGAAAGCCCCACCCCCCCATGACAGTAACCAGTGTAGCTTTGCTGGAGTTGGGGGGAATGTGGATCAGGGCGGGGTATATGGATGGTGAGAGAGGGGAGACAGCATACCAAGACAAATCTTCAAGAAGTTTGGTTATGAAAGGAGGGCTTAAGTAGAGAAACATACTCTTAGAGGATGAGAGATCAAGAGAGGGATGTTTGGGATAAGAAATAACAAGTGTGTTTAGAAACTCTCAAAATGGTCACTGGAGAGTGAGAGATTAGGCCTTGGCTTTTGTGTTACTTTTCATAATGATGAGAACTTATGAATTGTGTAACTCTTCACAGTTTACCAAGTGTTATCACACACACTGTCTCAGCTTTACAGCCATGCTATGAGTTATGTAGCAGCGCTGAGTTAGAGGTGAGGCACTCACTGACAAGCTCAAGGTCACAGCCAGAAAGGATGGGGGCCAGGCCCCTGTGCCCATGCTGTGCTCCTGGGCCCACCCCGAAGGCCCCTCCCTGTCCACAGTAGTACTGTCCCAGGGGACTGGCACCAGAATTGGACAGCATGAACAAAGTATAGATTGTGCCCTGCCAAGGTCTCTCAGGCAGATTTTCCAGCTGCCACCCAGCCAATCACTTCTGCCTACTGGCCCAGCTTTGATATTATGAAGTCACAGCTACTTTTCAACAGCATGGGACACTGTCCCACTCCCTGATCCCATTTAACTCAGCCTCAAAGCCTCTTGAATTTCTGGAAGAAACCAGCAATCTCTGGCAAGTGTCAGAGAGAGGAAACATGAAATTTCATATCCCTCATGTCCAGCACCCCCAAGCTTATCAACATGGGGACTGCCACCCAGAGGGACTGTGGGTGGGTTAGTGACTGTGGCCAATCTCTGGACCTCAGTCTCCACGTTTGCAAAATCCTGGTCTGTCATGAGGATACAATGAGACAGTGAGTGTACAGTGCTCAGAAAGGTACTTGGCCTGTGGCGACGACCCTATTCACACTGCATGTGATTATTTATATTTATCCATCCATTCACTCACTTATTTCTGCCTTGGACAGATACTCGTTGAGCACCTTCTCTATGCCAACCATTGCTCTAGGCTCAGCAAGTGCAAAGATGTATCCACATGCTTCCCGGGCTCAAGAAGCATATGTTTTAATGAAGGGAAGTGATGTTGGAACACAAACAACTCTGCCCTCATAGGAATAAGTGAGGCACAGAACATTGGTTATCCAGAGAAGAGATCACATTCAGCCAAGAGGTGGTCAGTGGGGGCAGACTTCATGGGAGGGCAGGGGGGTAGGGAGACCATCGCCTGTGGAAGGGGGTGTCTGCAGCTGAGCAGTCATAGAAGCTGGAAAAGGCAGAGCCTATTCGAGGGCGGGGGATGGTGAGGAACCCAACAGGAGCATCTGCTCCATGAGAGAAGAGGGAGGGGACACGCCTGATTATCTTGGGAGAGGATTGTAAGAGGTTCAAATGTCAGTCCAGCAGACCCAGTAGAGGGCAGCCTGGGTGGAGGGAGGAGTGGCAACTCTGTGCATTTACCTCTGGCCTTGTGTCATGGCTTGTCAAAAAGCCTACCCAGGAGCTGTTGGTTTGGCTTTGCATCTATAGTCCCTAGGGGTGGCGGCAGAAGAGAAGGGGCCAGAGTGTTGGGATTCATCCCAGGCCACCAGTTAGGTTTAGGCAGGACTCTATGGCACGTGCTCACTCTAGCAGATGGAGGAATTCGAGCCAGCCTGGCAATCCCACCCCAGTACCCCCTAGGCAGTGCCCTGGAACTAGCACCTCCAAGTTCTTCAAAGAAAAGAGGATCTAGGGCCACCACCATGGGAGTAGGAACCTTGTGTGCCACAGCTACCACCCCAGATTCAGGGCAAGAGGACTGGCTTCCACTATGTGCAGAGCCATGCCCCTGCCGCCCCATGGCCACATTTGTCAACACATTTTGTGACCCTCTGAGTTAGTCTAACTCTCACTTTGCAGAAGAGAAACCCAGAGGGGAACCAACCCCCTAGTGTTACAAAACTAATCTGGGGAAAAGTCAAGACCTGCAAGAAGTAAATGAAATCAAGGATGAGAACATGCTTTGTAAAGTGCTATAGCAAAGTAGCCTATTATCTCCCCTTTGACATGCAGTTCTTGGGCATTTCTCATGGTCACTACTTTGGGGGCCGCCACCAGAAAAAGAAATCAGAGGACCAGGAGTGTCAATATGGTGGGTGGAAGGAACACAGGATTTAGAGCCTGGAGACAGAGGCCCAGCCATGCCACGTACCAGCTATGTAACCTTGGACAGCTCACCGCCTCCCTGATCCTCAGTTTCCTTTTCTAGAAAAATGCTTCATCAACCCTCTTTCTGTGGGGCTCAAGTGAGACCTTTCTTCTGATAGTACCTTTAACAAACCCAGCACTCTAGGGCCATGGTGTCTTGTGAGGAGCAGCAGAGATGGTAGCAACCAGAAGACCTGGAGGCTTGGAGGACTCGTGGGTAGCACCCAAGGTATTTTCTGTCCCTGGGGGCTGGAGCCAGCTGCTGATGGTGCTGAAACCCAAGTGTTCTGTCTCTCCTGCCCAGACATGTCCCGTGGGTCATGCCATGCCCTCAACTCACGGCCCTCAGACACCGTTCATCAAGGCGTCTGAGGCACGACCTTCCATCACCGGGTGCTGACTCAGCGCCCACTGAGCTCTGTGCCCCCCTTTCACACACTGTGGGTGCCAGAAGGCGCCTGGCCAGTTGCTCAGCACTCCCCAAACTTCACTGGCTCTGCATCTCGGTGATGAAGGAGAGGGCCAAGTTGGACCAGTTTCAGGAAAGCAAGAAGTGATTTCTCTCAAAGACCTTGGAGAGGTCTTTCCGCCCACCCCATCCCCACCCGCAAAGTGTTCTCAGCCAGGACAGCCGGAGGCCTTCAGCTGAACGTCACGCAGGATGTACACACTTAGGTTAAAACAAAGGCAGGAGGCCAGGACTAATGGATGGACATTGGCCGGGTTCTTTAGGAGAGCCTGGCAAGCTGGTGTTCTCTAGAGGCAGGAGGAGGCCTTCAGACATTCGTGACCACACTGTCTGAGGGTGACCTTGGACATGGTACTTTCTCCAGATGGAAAGGCAGTGGGAAGAAACTGACTGTGGGACACTTAAGCCTTTATGACTCCAATCTAGACTCTGAGGTTCCATTCATTTGATCATTCAACAAGTATTTACTGAGCACGTATTTTGTGCCAGGCTCTGTGGTAGGGCCTGGGGAACGAAACAGACAAAAAGTTCTGCCCTCGTGGAGCTGATATTCTAGTGGGATCAGACATAGAAGGGAGAGCTAAACAAAAACACAAGAGAATTATCTGCTACTGGTAAAAGCTTTGGGGGAAGAGCAGGAACAAAGGATAAGGAGCGAGGGTGAGGTTGGGGGGCAGTGCTTGCAGGTTTCAGGCCTGTGGCCAGGAAGACTTTACTGAGAAGCAACAATGGAGGCAGGTCCTGAACTTGGTGACGGAGGGAAACAGTCATGTGGCTCTCTGGAGGAAGTGCATCCTGGGCAGGGGCAACAGCAAGTGCAAAGTCCCTGAGGCAAGAACATGCCTGGGCCTTCAGTATATAGCCTGAAGGCTGTGTGGCTGCAGGAGAATGAGACGAGATGAGGACAGATGAGCATTTTAATCTTTCATATTGAGTTCCTTAGAAAAAGGGCTGCAGGGCACCTGATGGCTCATTCTTGGTTAAGTGGCTGCCTATGGCTCAGGTCATAATCCCAGAGTCCTAGAATGGAGCCCTATGAGGGCTCCCTGCTCGGCAGGGTGTCTACTTCTCCCTCTGCTGCTGCCCCTCCTCCCCCTTGTGCACTCTGGCGCATGCTCAATCTCTCTCTCTCTCTCTCTCTCTCTCTCTCTCTGTCTCTCTCTCCCTCTCCCATCACCCAAATAAATAAATAAAATCTTTTAAAAGAAAAAGAGCTCCAGCAGGTCCACCCTCTGGCTTTAGATTTGTTCATAATCTTTACCCATCTGAGATGCTCATCTCATGCTACTGTTTAAATGCTTGGGACTCTGTCAGGAGAGAGTCATTCCACACCTCAGCAACAAAGCCTCTGCTCCCTGGGACTCATTTGCACAGAAAGAGCCTGGGTCCAAGTCCTAGCACCTGACATTTGACTAGTTGTGTTACCATGGGGAAGGGCACTTAGTCTCCGTTTCCCCGATGAAGCTCATCAGTTGTCTCATCTGCAAAATGGGTTAATAATACAGCCTCCCAAGCCACCTCACTTGCTTATTAGATTTAAATTAGTGAGATCATAAACATGAAAGTGCTTTGACATTGAAATGGCCAAGGTAGATGTAGGGGAGTGGTCATTCTCTTCAGGGAAGCCTGTGGTAAGGGGCTTGTTGCTGGCTCCCCCTGTGCCACCCTGCTTCTTATATTGTGTCCCAGGTGGGCCCAGTTGACTCTTATTTTGAGTGAGTCTGTATCTGAATCAGGGATACCCACCAAACACCCAGGGACCCCTGAGGCGAGGGTTTCCCCGGGATGCCCCAGGGCTGAACTGCCCCACTGTAGACCTGCCCAGGAGGATTCTAAGCCCCATTGTTGGGTAGGAGGACACCAGGTGAACTCAGCTGCTCCTCCTCAACACCCCCACCCCTTCCTCCTGCAGGTACAACGGCCCCAACCTGGTGCTGAAGTATGACCGGACTCAAAAGCGACTGGTGAACATTGCAGTGGATGAGCGCAGCTCCCCCTACTATGCGCTGCGGGACCGTCAGGGGAATGCTATTGGGGTCACAGCCTGCGACATTGATGGGGATGGCCGTGAGGAGATCTACTTCCTCAACACCAATAATGCCTTCTCAGGTAAGGGGTTGGGGCCTTGGGCCTCTTCCTGCTTCCCACTCTTTTCCTCCCAGCACCAGCTCGGGGGAGGGGCTCCCCCCAGGCATAGGCCCCTGCTGCCTCCAGGAGCTTGCTCTGGCCTAGCAGAGACCCCACCACCACCCGTCCAGGAGCGCCCCTCATCTCCCTCAGACTTTCTGCTGTGTTCACCTCCCACTCTGAGCAGCACCCGCCCCCACTTCCACCCCCCCCCCCCACTGCTCCTGCCGTGGCTCAGCTACTCAGCACTTCTCACTGGACAGATGGTCCCCTGGAATCACCCTCCATGCTGCTTCTAGAGGACCTTTCAGAATGCTCTGAAATCCTTCAAGGGCCCCCCACAGCTTTTAGCTGAGCTCATTTATTCACTCTACAAATTCCTGCTGAGCTACTCCAAACCAGACTAGAGATGCTAGATGCTGGGGAAACAACTTGGAAGGAGACAGACCTTCAGTTCACAGAGCCTTTCTCAGCCTAGAGTGTCTCAGCCGACTTACCTGGGGGTCTTGTGTAAATGCACATTCTGACTCAATGGGTCTGGGTGCAACCCAGGATCCTGCATTGCTTTCACACTATAATGCTGTTGCTGACCCAGGGACCACCTACCAAGGAATGGCTGGGGAACATTGATGTCCAGAAAACTAAAGAACAGTAAGGATACTCATAACAGCTAACTTGAGTAGCAGTGACTGTGTGCCAGGCTTGGGTCTAAGCACTTTATGTTAATTATCTCATGTAAGCCTCACAACAGCTCACTCGGGTTGGTCTTCGACATCCCCCTTTAGAGTTGAGAAAATTGAGGGACAGAGGTCACATGACTGGCATAAGGTCACATACCTTTTAAGTCCCAGGACTCACACCCAGGGGTCTGATTCTACATCCATCCTTTAATAATGATACCCCATGGCCAGGGCGCCTTGGTGGCTCAGTCAGTTAAGCATCTGACTGCGGCTCAGGTCATGATCTCAGGGTCCTGGGACAGAGTACCTGTGTCAGGCTTTCTGCTCAGCAGGGAGCCTGCTTCTCCCTCTGCCCTTCCCCCGCTCATGCTTTCTTTCTCTCTCTCAAATGAACAAATAAAATCTTTAAAAGAAAGAGAGAGAGTTTCCATGGCCTTACTCAATCCAGTGTCCTCAGGGCCTCGTGAAGAGCCTGGCTCATAGCAAGTCCTCAGTGCTGCACAAGTTGGCAGCTGTGTTCTTGGGCTAAAGATCAAGGTGGTTGCCGAACCCTGACTCTCATATTCTCTCAAGCCCGAGCTCAGCCCACTAGAATGAAGTCCACTCCCATGGAGCCATAACATCTGCAGGGAAGTCCCAGGCCATGGTGTCTTCCTGAAACATGCAGAGCCTCACGTCTCTGAGGCCAGGTGGGACATGCACTGGACTCTTCCAGATGGCAGTGTCCTCTTGGGTTGGTCTAGACAATGCCCTGTGGTTCAGACCTGTGTATTCACCATCCCAGACCCTTCCAGTCTCCCAAAGGTAGGGGATTGCCTAGCTGTGGGGATCGCCTTCCCTGCCTCTTCCCCAGCCCCAGCACACACACACTGGCTTTCCCTGGGCCCATAATGTTCCCCTACTGGTTCTTGAGGCCAGGCCAGGATCTAGCCCCTAGACTGCCCCTGATGTTAAGCCCTGCCAGTGGCATGAATGGGAGGGGAAGGGGTTGGGGCCTGTGCCAGGGGCAGGGGCAGGCGGGGCTGACTGGCTGGCAGCCAGCCTTGTGCAGCCAAGAAACAATGAGCCACAGCCCGGAGTAGTGTTTTATGGGTTTTCATCTCATCTTGCCACCAAGTGAGGCCTGAGAGATAGTAATTATCCCTACACAAATATCAGGGCATGATTACCCAGCTGGATTTACTACCCTCTCTCCAACTAAGCCAAGATTGGATTAGGACACAATTAATTGATGGGCTGATCAACCCTTTAAGTTGAAGGTCAGGAGGGGAGCAGCAGCAAGGGACAGCCGTGAAGAGGTGAGTCCCCAGGAAGATGCAGTGGGGCAGGGAAGCAGAAATAGGACGAACTGTGGAAGGTGGGTGATGTCTCACATAGGCCCAGCAGGCAGGATGCCAGAAGAAGGGGACAGATTCTCCTCCCTACTCACCAAGCACAGAGCACCTGGGAGGAGCTGGTCAGGTGGCTCTGAGGCTGTAGCCCCTCCCATGTCCTCGGAGCCTTCTGCTGGGAATCCCTGAGCAGAGTGCTCAGCGAGAGCTACACGTTAGAATTTCCTGGGGAGCTTTTATCCCTCCCACTTCCCATGGTATACCCCAATCCAGGCCAATCCAGACCTCTAGGGGTAGACCCAGTTACCCAGATTATAAAGCTTTCCAAGTGATTCCCCACGTGCTGTCAAAGTTGAAAGGCTACCCACCCACCAGCAATCATGTTGATTCCCTGCTCGGCCTGGCCTAACCTACCCAAAGCTCCTGTTGTTCACAGATGTATTCATTCACTGGACAGATATTTACTGAGCAACTACTGTGTGCCAGGCACTATTCTAGGCTCTGAGGATGCCCCATGAATGAAACAGACAAAAATCCTGCCCTCCTGAAATTTATACTGTATCCTCAATGCAGCCTGAGATTTCTCGAGGCACCTAATTCTCCTGGACTCTAAGCTCCGTGAGAGCAAAGTCCCTATACTGGTGCCTCCAACCCAGGTAGACTTTGAACATCCTGAGAGCACCATCAAAAATTTGATAAATAAATCCAGGAAGAACAGACATAGGCATGAGCCATTAGACCAGAGAGAAGTTTTGCCAGCCAAGCGAAAACAAGGGGAAGCAGGCAATGTGGAGCTCTCCACCAACTCCACCCCCCACCCCCAAAAAGGTCCTGGGCTTCTTGGGTTTCAGGGCACAAATGTTCATCTAGGAGAGGCTAGAGCTGGGCCCCCAGTGCTGGGGAAGGGTGACAGGGCCCAGAAGCCTCAGTTCCAGGCATGCACCTCCTGGTGACCTTCTGTGGGTTCGAGGGATGTCTGTGGGTTTGAGTTAATTTTTCAGTCCAGTGATTCAATTGATTCATCGACAGTGGGCATGGTGTAGAACTGGGACATTTGTGCGATGTCAGCACTTCCTTGGGTCCAGCTGGCACAACGCTTAGCCACTGCCATGCTGCCTACCATGGGGAACCTGAGATCCCCTCCAGGAGCCCTGCCAGCCTGCACTGCTTGTGGCATGTGCCTGGGGGCTCCTTCAGCCTGTGCTGGAGCATTGGAGAGACCTGTGCAAGGATGGCCCCATCCTCTTCCTCAGCCAGCCTTTGGGATAGCAGCATTAGAATCTCTGGAAGGGGGTTGAGACCCTGCATCCTGGCAGTGGGAATTAGTTTGTACAACCCTGAGATCTGCACCTTACTCACTGGGTATTCCTTGTAAAATGTGAAAAATCACATCAACTTCATAAGCCCGACTTCCTTGAGTGGCTTCATAGACTATATCCAGAGTCTCTACCAGGCCTACAACATCCCTCCTTGATGTGAGCCTGGTTGCCTTTCTGACCTCATTGCCTACTCGCTTCCTCTTGCTCACTGTGTTCCCACCTGAGGCCTTCATACTTGCTGTTACCTCTGCCTGAAATGCTTTTCCCACCACTGTTTTCAGGGCTTACTCCTTCCCTTCATTCAGGCTCATCCTCAGATAGGGTCTTGCCTGAAAACCTTAAAACCATACCCCTATCTCTCTCTGGCCTTACTTTGCTTCATTTCTCTCCATAGCACTCAGTGCTCTCTGAAAGTATGTTATGTTATGTTATGTTATGTTATGTTATGTTATGTTATGTTATGTTAAAGTATGTTCATCTATTCTGCTCTTCTACTCAGCTCCATAGGGATAAAAACTTGGTCTTGTTTGTTGCTGTATCTCCAAGACCACTTAATCTCACTTAATAAACATTTAACACATATATTTGAATGAACAACTGAGACTCCGAATGAAAAGCACTTATAATGGTATCTAGGACTTAGTAAGTGCTCTCCAAGCAGTAGCTGTTAGAATCCAGCAGCGTGAAGAAAGCCAGAGCCTTTAGAAGTGTCCTGGGCAGAGGGGCCAGGCCCCCCTCCTGGCCCATGGGGGAGAGAGACTCTAGCAACAGAAACAGAAAAGGACCATCATGTAAATAAGAGATTACCCAGAAGAGAGGACCAGGGGGGCCTGGATCAAGGATTAAGAATTGGAAAATAGGGGATCCCTGGGTTGCTCAGCTGTTTAGCGCCTGCCTTCAGCCCAGGGCGTGATCCTGGAGTCCCAGGATCAAGTCCCACATCAGGCTCCCTGCATGGGGCCTGCTTCTCCCTCTGCCCGTCTCTGCCTCTCTCTCTCTCTCTCTCTCTCTGTGCATCTGTCATGAATAAATAAATAAAATCTTTAAAAAAAATAAGAATTGGAAAATAGGTAGGAGGGAGGGAACAGAGGAAAATTGACCACAATCCCAAGAAAGCCTGGGCCATCAAAACTAGCTTATGGCTTAACTGACATGGAAAACTATAAGCCAGTGTGGTTCAGGCAACACATTATTTGGTGAAAACCAGGAAGGAGAGTGTGTAGGACAAAGGGGAATAAGAGGCTGGTTCCAGCACCTCCCTCATCATCCAGGAACCGGGGACTTCCTGCAGCTCCCAATCAGAGCCCATGTCCCCTAGGGGTCCAGTGCTGGCCACACCAGCCGCTGTGGCCCTGAGCTCTCCTGCCTATGTGATCTGGGGTCATGGTGGCATGGGTAGGAGATGGGTCAGCAGGAATTGGGAGCCCCACCACTATATCATGTTTACCATTCAAAAGAACAAGTCATCGACAATCTGCTACCTTCAATCTACATATGCTTCCCTCCTTTTCTACACTAATAGTAGCATACTCTACTCACGTTGCTGCCCCTTACTTGTTTTGTTTAACAACCAATTTTGGATGTTATGTCATAGCAGCACACAGACTGCTTGCTCATTCTTTTGATGGTTGTATTGTACTCCATTGTGTTGA